CATTCAGAAGAGATCACCGTCAGATGTGGACAGGAAGCGGATAGAAGCAACTTAGAAGGAACTGGAATCTTGCAGATAGATAACTTATGCGAAGTTATCGCCGCAGATTTCAGAATCAGAGGACGGAAGTCGTCAGGAATACGTCTCGATCTGCATATTCATCCGAACATGAACTTGACCCTGAACGAGAATATGAGCAACTATCTAAAGAAGGGCCAGTTGAACCTGAATGAGGTCCATCTCCGCAGTGTGGTACGAAACGTTAAAGAGCTGAAACGTTTGGACAAGAAATGAAACGTTTGGATGCAAACACGATGGTCTTCGGCATCCCGGAGTTCCTCGCGCATCCAGCATCAATTATCTCTAGCGCGACGACATTTCTCTGCTATCACTGTGCTGTTGGTGTCGATGTACTGGTTCGGTACTCAGAGAATTGACAGGAGGAACTCAGACATCACCTCACCCATAAGTCTTAGAAATATTTAAATTATGACTAATGTTGAATAGTAAATATGTATATGTAAAAATTCCAAGTATAGGAATTTTCCTCTCTGGTCGGGAGAGATGTTGTATTCCAGAATATTCCACTACCAAATTATGAAATAATTCATGTTTAATAATTGTGAAATTAACAGATTATCGATTGTTTATCGATGCAGCATCGTATTGCAACACCGGAACGTTTTGTAATACGAATACAAAGAAACATCGAGGTAAGTGTGTCACGGTTTTCGGATAAAAACCAAGAACACACTGCACTCGGGAGGTCATTACCAATGTAGTGAATTTTGAAGTTTGTTTTAATTTCTTTTGTATTTTACCGTTACACTTTGAGTAAGAAATAAAGTAAATTCAAGTATCTTATTGCTGAAGTCTGAGTCCATTGTACTCGTCCATTCTACCACACACAACAACATTATATTTGCGATATCCACTGTAGAACATTTTTCCATCATTATTGATAGCTACCCATGTCTTTTTTCATTTTTTATACATTTATATGGGCAACTATGAGTCCCTACTTGTAAACTAAAAGACTCACAGGTACATTTTTTTCTCTGTGTTACTACTTGTCGCAAATCTTCATTATCAATATTTCAAGATTAAATCATTATTGTCTGGAAAATATCGTTGTTCCTGAGAGTATTTTGAGGTCATTGTTTATAATTGCACATGTTTTTTCAAAATCTTGTTCCCATTTTCATAAGACTATCATTTTAAACTTTTAAACTAAATAATGCACCATATTCAGTTTCTATTTTCACCATCTTATGTCAGATTTTCCTTGTCAACAGGATAAATTCAAACAAATCCTTAAAATTATGGAACGAAAATATACTAATCAAGGATAGTAATATGGTTTTTTTTATGGATAAAGCTGCTGCCTTTTATTACATCACAAATAAACAGCGCACACGCACGAAAGAAATTCATAGGAAATCGTGACGATTTCGTGAGAAAATTCGATTGGATTTCATTGGAAATTTCTATTAATTTTTAGCTGATCCTATTGGGATGTACGAAAGACAATATTTTACAGAAAAAGTCAATAGAATTTTATTTTTCTATACAACTTATTCTGTAGAAATATCGTTTATAGAATTTCCTCGGCTCAAGTTCTCTGTCTTTTTGTTGGATTTTCTCGATGAAGAAAACAGAAAAATTGATTTTAAAAAACTTGGAATATTTGAGCCGAGGAAATTCTATAAAAGATATCTCAATTGATTAAGTTGTATAGAAAAATGGAATTCTATTGACGTTTTCTGTAGAATATTTTCTACCAAACATTTCAAGAGAATCTGAAAAAAACTAATAAAAATTCCAATTGAAATCCAATAGAATTTTGTAGTGAATTCGCTAGTTTTTTCTATTCAATTTGTTCATACGTACACAAGTACATATTTTATATCTCCATGCTATCACTCGTCTGAAACTCTCAGTATTAATATTTTATCTTTATTGGCCAGTATTTACATTTTATTTTTATCATCTTGGAAACATCGTTATTTCAAATAGTAATTTGTGTTCATTGTTTCGGCGACAATTAATGGAAAAAACCCGATGGAGAGCCGGGTTCGGGAAACGGATAGGGTAGTTCGCAGCAAAAATTAATGTTCACTGAACGCGTGGGTAGTGTCACAATAAAAGAGTATATTTTACTCAAGAATATGAAGAAGTCACAAAAAATATGTGTCAAATTGAGCACTGTCAACTAGCAATCGAATTAAGACACGTTGGAGAATTTTCACATATGAGATGTTTACAATAATTAACGATTCAGTCGTAGAGAAAAACACGCGGTGTGCACTTGTCGATATGAGAGTTGAGAAGAAGGCGGAAGTGAGACGAGATGGGTCAAGTGTCGCGGCAGGTGTCCTCGATTCCAATTAATTGGGGCATGACCGATAAAACAGGTACGCGCCCAGGAGGTGCTGCCGCGAGTGGACAACGGAGTGACTCAATTCCATGAGGCTAATGCCTCAACATTCTCCCCCCCCCCGTCAGCAACTCTGTTGGTGATCTGGTTTTGAGAAGACCATGGTAGAACCTGAAACAGTAATCAGAGAGATTAACTGTTTCAACAGAGACCAGCAACAGTTCAGCTGGTAGAGATTGGCAATGGGACCAGCTTGGAGATCGGCCGGATCAATGTTGTTGACGCAGTTCTAATTGTCACAACTCTGGAGAGACCGTCCTTTCCAGGATGTAGAGCTGTGACACGAGCGAGAGGCCATTCCGAAGGCGGGAACCTTTCATCGGAGAGTAGAACCAGAGAACCGATGCGAATCCCGTTGGACAGATGGTGCCACTTGGAGATGGTCTGGCGCTGCTGCAGGTATCCTGTTGACCACTGCTTCCAGAAATACTGCAGCCTCTGCTGAATTAGTTGCCATCTTGATAGCCGTCCAACGTTGAGGTCACCAAGTGAAGGTTCTGGCAGAGTGATTGGAGCTTCTCTAATCACTAAATGTCCCGGGGTGAGATACGACACGTCGTCAAGGTCCTCAGAGAGAGGCTGCAGAGGCCTGGAGTTGAGAACTACTTCGACCTGGATCAGCAGCGTAGGAAGCTCCTTGAACGTCAGAACCGTGTCCCAAACCGTCCGAGAAAGGTGTCACTTCACCGACTTGACCGCTGCTTCCCATTGACCTCCGAAAGGCGGTGCCCCTGGTAGATTGAACGACCACCGAGTGCGATCCTCCTGCTGGAAGTCCTTCCATCCAGCCGAGAGCAATCTCCTCAGCTCCTTGTCAGCATCGATGAAATTGGTGCCACAGTCACTGTAGAGATTCGCACAGTGACCACGACGACTCACGAACCTGCGATAAGCGGCAATGAACCCATCAGCAGAGTAATCGGAGACAGCTTCCAGGTGAAATGCAGATGTGACCATACAAACGAAGATCACTAACCAACCCTTGTGGGTTTTATAGCCACGCCCCTTCCACGTCTTAATAGACACTCGTCCAGTATAATCCACGCCAGTATTAGAGAACGCACGCGTCGCTGAAAGACGTGCTGTTGGAAGCTGTCCTATCAGTTGCTGAGCACGAACCTCACGATGACACGCACACTCAACACACTTGAGAATAAAAGATCTTACTGGCCCTCGTCCTCCAATTATCCAGTAAGAGCTCCGGGGATGCGCCAGCGTAATTTGAGTTCCACCATGCAACGTTCGCTAATGAGAATCCCTAATGAGAAGCTCTGCTAATACGGACTCTTTAGGGATCATCGCTTGATGTTTACTCTCTGGGTGCAAGGTAGAGAACTGCAATCGCCCACCCAGTCGGAGAACCTCCTGATGATCAATGAAGGCCGTGAGTTTGATCAACGTATGAGATCTACCAAGTTGCTGACCATGAGAGATAATGTCACACGCGGACTGTAGATAAAAGGCCTGAGTTGTCTTAACCCAATACAGCCGAGCTGCCTCTAAACCATCATGATGGAGTAGATGCACCAGAGATTCACCACACTTCGTCCTCAGCCTGGAGACAACACGCAAGCAAATCGCCGTTACACGCAGCAACTTGTAGAGAGAGAAGTATCTGGTGATGAGATCTTAGAGAGTAGACCACTTTGAGGAGGCAGAGAAGACTAGCCCAGGTTTCTCCTCAAGGTTCGTTGACGGATCCAGTTTCGCGTCCTCTTTTGGCCACCGAGAAGAATTAAGCTTTAACCACTTTGGAGTCGTCCACTACAATCTACGAGCACTGAGCTGCATCACTGTGATGCCCAGAGATGCCCAATCAGCAGGATTCTCTTTACCGCTGATGTACCACTACTTCGCTCCTTCCACCTATTCCTGTATGCTAGCTACCCTGTTATGCACATATTCCTTCCACCGGGAGGGATGAGAGCTGATTCATGCCAGGGTAACAGTTGAGTCGGTCCACAGGAACACAGGAGCGGCACGAAGTTTGAGTTGATCACGCACATACCTTGTGAGTTTTGCCAGAATGACTGCGGCGTTGAGCTCAAGACGCCGAATGGTGAGCTGTTTGAGGGGAGCTAACTTTGTTTTAGCAATTGGTAATGAGATGCTGAAACCATCCGAGCTTGTCACCTTCAAATACACCACCGCAGCCATTGCTGATTGAGACGCGTCCGAAAACCCATGTATCTGCACTAGAGAATCCCTTCTTCATTCCAAGCCAACGAGGAATAGAGATGCTTCCGATCTGAGATAGCTCCTCCCGAAATTGCCCCCACTTAAGAGCCATTTGTGATGGCAGCTCGTCATCCAAATCCAGTTTCTCCAGCCAGAGACGCTGGATTAGGGACTTTGCCCTGAACACCACAGGAGACAGCAATCCGAGAGGGTCGAACAACTGAGCTATCTCAGAGAGAATATTGCTCTTCGTTATCTTAGGGTTGGCTGGAAGGTGGATAGAGAACTTGAGTTGGTCTGTGTCAGGATCCCAATTCAGTCCAAGAATCTTCGTAGTGGAATCCTCTAGCGGCTTATGATCCTGAGAGACATGTGGACTTAGAGATCAAAGTAGAGACGGACTATTACTGTGACATTTAGCTAAAGGAAATCCACCAGCTAAGCAGACACCTGTCACTTGCTTAGACACGTCCAACAGACCAAGCTCATTTTCAGCTCCACCACCGATATCATCCACATATCTACCACTGGTCAATGGAGAGACGGCCAGAGGGGAACGATGTTCCTTATCCGCAACCAGCTGATTGAGAACTCTACAGGCTAAGAATGGGGCAGATTTAGTCCCGTAGGTTACTGTGGTGAGCTGGTAGGTGCTGATCTGACCCTGAGAATCGCGCCACAAAATCTGTTGATGAGGCCAGTCCTCACGATGCATCTTGATTTGGCGGAATATCTCCGTGATGTCCGTCATGAAAATGAACCGATTACGTCTCGATTTGAGAAGAAAGTCAGTGATATCCTGAGTCAATTTGGCTCCAGCATGTTGAATGTCATTGAGTGACACTCCCGTGCTGATCTTACTGTAACCGTTGAACACCACCCTCAGCTTCGTAGTTTTACTACTTTCCCGGAGAACACCATGATGAGGAACGTAGTATGTGGGAGTAGAAGAGGATGTATGTCTTAGAGACGAACATTGTATGGAATCAAGAGCCGACTGCCTCCTCTCAGAGACCCTCAACCCTCCTGAAGCCGAAGCGTGATGTGTCTAGGTCATCCCCTCAGAGTAACAGCCTAGACTCAAGCCCCTGACGCTCCGCAAATAAGATACGCCTGAAGCACCCACCATGTGCCCCAGCTCTTCATACTCCTTGAGAAAATCACTAAAAAGCTGAAAGGTTTTCTGATCCTTCTCTATTCCCCGAAACAGACTGGTGAGACACGCCTTAGCCCGACAATAGGAGTCGCCAAGCTCCGTCGTATAAGAGGCAGCCGAACCACATAACGCCCTGAGCTATCTCGTGAATGAGTGCGCTGAAAAAAGTCCTCACATTCTGCCTCCTCTTTAGTCAGAACACTATCTTCAGTTTTCGGAACTTCCTCTTGCAGCCAGATCTTGGTGAGAAGATCGTCAAGTTGCTCATTACTGATTGATACGTGGTTAGAGCTAGTCACCATAGGAATCACCGCCGAAGTCGATCCGAGCACCACCCAACCGAAGATAGTGTACATGGCTATAGGGAAACTACAGGCCTCTCGATGATTCGCGATTCTACGATTGATCCAAAGAAATCTGCCTCAATGAGAAGATCAATAGGTCTGGGCGTCAAATACTCTGGATCAGCAAGTTTCAGTCCCTTGAGATGATCCCATGGTTGTGTTTGAGGGACTGAAAACGATGGCAACGAGGTTGTGAGATGGTCAACGTAGGACTTAATGTCAATTCGCTTGTTTGAGTACCGCGACTTCAGATAGAACTGAGAAAAACACTTTGAACACGACCTTGCTCCACCGATACCAACGACAGGTAGCAAAGCTGAAAATGTCGACAAGCCTTGATTCACCACGAGACTATCTGCCACAAATGACAACTCAGATCCAGGATCAAGCAGCATCCTAACTTCCCACGACGATCCATTCTCCCCAACGAGAGAAGCCAACGCTGTTGAGAGAAGAACACCTGGTCTGAGCTGAAAAGACACTCTATGAACTGTCATTGGTGCAGTGGTAGAATCACTTGATAGCGACGACTGTTGAGAACGCACCAAAATTATCGGTGTCACTGTCAATGCTGACGTTGGTAGAGGAAGTCACTGCTGAGATTCGCCAGGCCTGGAGACAGTGGACTGTATCGGAGTTCCACGAGGCTGAGATGGCTGTTGAGCCACAGATGGCTGAGACGCGACCTGAAGAGCACCTGCGTGACGACCGATATGTATCATCGAGTGATGACGCTTATGACACACAATACAGGTCTTGGTAGTCCGACAGGCCCGTATTGAGTGCTTCCCCAGGTAGTTGAAGCACAAGTACTTCCTTTCCACGAATTTCTTGCGCTTCTCAGGCATCTCTCAGCTTAAACCTCGGATACCTGTCAATGAAGGAGCCATCCGACCACATGGAGCAGGGATTGGCACTCATATCTGCACACGATTGAGAGCTCGATCTCTCCTCACCAGCGCCAGCTAAGACATTCAAAACTTTGGCTGGCTTAGGCTTCGGTAGCTGCTGGTGAGAACTCGGCTTAACCATCTGAGAATCCTGCTGAGATTGCTGCTCGATCCTCTACTTCGCTCTGGCCCTGCTCAGGATGAATCCCTCAACTCTTGATACGAAGGAAACGTTGTGGTAAAGCCGATTTTAATTTTCCACGCCGCCATTGTCTTGGTGTCTAACCGGCTGGAGATGACATGCACCAGGATATCATCCCAATGCTGCACCGATCGTCCGAGCGTCTTCAAAGCGTTCAAAGCCTCAGTCGTGGAGTTGAGCAGGGCATTATACTCCTTCGCCGTCCGGTTGACAACCTTTGGGATGCTGAACAGATTCTTCAGCTGTGTAGATATGAGAAAACGTTCATTATCATATCTCGCGGTGAGCATCTCCCAGGCTGTCAAGAAGGAGTCCTCGGACACCGGCAGAGATGACACCAACTGCTTCGGTTCACCAGCAAGAGAAGTGAGTAAATAATGCAGCTTCTCGACAGTAGAGAGCGCCATATTACCAACCACCATCGAGAGGAAGAGATCCTTGTATGGAGCCCATTCTGAGAAAATCCACGAAAAAGTGGGCAGAGAAATCTTAGGCAGTTGCCTCTGAGACACCTGAGCAGCAGCAGCAGGTGCAGCAGGTCTGCGATGGAATAACTCATAGAGGGCAACGGAATCATCCGGTGACTTGATAAACCCCATGAACGTGGTCCTTGCTACGGAGTAATACTGCAAACATTTATCATACACCTGCGCCTTAACGTAATCGTGCTCCATGATTTCCGCGCTGTCCTTACCGGACAGCAACTTTAAGTGCTGCTCCTCGAATTGACCCCAGTAGGTCTCCAGCATATCCAGCTTGGTCTGCAGCTCGGTCACAGAGAGCTGCTTGACTGCTTCAACGACCGATTCGGCTCTGAGAGACTCAATGAACTTCGCCCTACTGGCTTGTATCAGGATTCTCCCTGCGAACGACATACATAACTCGGAGAACGCAAAGCGAAAAAGTAGAGAAAAGCACAAGCAGCGAATATCAAGCTAGAGTTGGTAGAGTGTAATGTCCAAAATTTTATACTAGAAATTTTAAGGCGAGAATAATTTTATGTAGAATAACTAAGAAACAAATCGACTAATGTAAACTAAATAGAGTGCATTTCATCACGTGAACTCGATTAAAAATTCCAAAGTCATTGGAATCGAGTTCAAAAGTGATGAAATGGCCCACTCAGCATGCCCCAATTACCCAATAGTAAGATTTGCGCGCGAAGGAACGATTGAAAACCGATGAATTGAAACCCCAAAAAATCGAATGAACTACTTCCCCATAAAAATCAAAAGAGTGGAAGAAGTCATACGACATTTTCTACCAATTAAAAATGGACTCGTTCGAGCCCATGTGACAAGTGACCCCAAAATTCATATAAAAATATCATAAAAATCAAAATTAAACAGTCTTGAAGCAGCGACGGAGCAGTAACAATTCTGATGGAAATACCTCAATTAATCGGTACGGTTTTTCCATCGTGCCTTCGATTACGCGGTATAGTACTGAATTAATGATAAATTACGAACAATTGAAATTATCCGGGAATAAAATTTCTTTAATCGAGAGTGGTGACTTTTCTTACAAATAAGGAATTCGTTCATTGTGACGCGTTGTGGACAGTCCCACCAAACTCTTAAACTCTTAAAATTCAACTGTCCAAATTTATTAAAATATCCACGAGTAGAAGAAAGTGTTTCCGTGAAAGTATTCATAATAGCCTTTAGCACGACTAATTGCTGATGATGAAATTACGGATTTACCCAGGGATTTACAAAGGCATCGATTAATTTATAAAAAACAGACCGAATTGTGAGTAACAAATTTTGTAACCCCAAATTTGAATCCTTCAGATCATTCCAGCAGTATGAATTTTAACTACATAGATTTCTGTAAAACCACGCTTATATTTTTCTAAACCGAATAGTTATTCAAAATATATTTAAATTCAAATTTAATTCCCATTACAACTCCATATTTTTTGATTAGTAATTGGTCTCAACTCGAACCCTATCCCTGAATCAAACCATTTTCCTTTATATTTTAGAAAAAGGTAAGAGTATAAAACTTTGCGTCGTCCAATAATTATAAAATCTAATAATTTTAGCTTTGATATTAATGTGACAGTTAAAACATGTCCTTTCGACGCTAAAATCTTTCTCCGGACATAACAAGAGAAAAACAACAGTGGAGAGAAGCAGCACAGTCAATAGCCAACCAGCCAGAGAAAAGCAGCCGCAGTAGGAACAAAATTAAGTAAAAATCAATAAAAATTAATAATAATTGACTTCCGTGTGAAAAGGTAGAGATGAACACCGAAGTTCAGTGAGCAGTGAGAAGATATTCAGATTCTGTCGCTGAAAGTCTAGGGGAAAGTCTCCTGGAGTCCCAAAATGAGCGCCACTGCTCGATTTCAAAAAGTCAGTGCCGCGCCCAAATGTCAATCGTTTAGGTTGGCCACTGCACCACTACTTCACACGGGAGAGGGCTAATCGCGGTTCCCGCGATTTTCACCGACACTACGCGCACTGATTTCCCTTTTCAGCAATTTTTCCGATATCCGGCTCGAAGGACCAACTGTTTCGGGGAGAATTGATGGAAAAAACCCGATGGAGAGCCGGGTTCGGGAAACGGATAGGGTAGTTCGTAATAAAAATCAATGTTCACTGTACGCGTGCGTAGTGTCACAATAAAAGAGTATATTTTACTCAAGAATATGAAAAAGTCACAAAAAATATAGATGTCAAATTGAGGACTGTCAACTGGCGATCGCATTAAGACACGTTAGAGAATTTTCACATGTGAGATGTTCACAATAATTAACGATTAAGTCGTAGGGAAAAACACGCGGTTTGCACTTGTCGACATGAGAGTTGAGAAGAAGGCGGAAGTGAGACGAGAGCAGTTAGGACCCGAGATGGTGAGACAGTCCCTCCCCCCTTTTTCCCCCCTGGGGGCAGTGCGAGTGAGAGAGGAGATACCTCTCTCTCGGACTGGCGCCAGGCATGTCTGGGCCGGCTGATGGTGGTGGGGGAAGGTCCCACGTGCGCCGATGATGTGTGCGTGGACCGAGGATGATCGGTGGGTATTGAGTGGATGGCTAGGAGGTGGGTGGTGAGTGTCTAGGGCAACGGATGGGTGGTGGATGGCTAGGAGGTGGGTGGTGGGTGTCTAGGGCAACGGATGGTCGGTGTGTGACTAGGTGGTGGGTGTTGGGTGGGTGGTTGGTGCTGGGTCTGGATGATAGAGGTTGGTGGGTGAGTGGATGGGGTGGTTGGTATTGGGTTCTGGATGATGGGTGGGTGGATGGGGTGGTTGCTGCTTGGTCTGAATGATGAGTGGTGGGTGGGTGCTGAGTCAGAGGGTGGTGGGTGTTGGGTGGGTGGATGGGGCGGCTGGTGCTGGGTCTGGATAAGAGCTGGTGGGTGAAAAGTGGGCGATGCGATTGAAATGATTAGATACAAATTTTATGATAATAAAAAAAAATCATTCAAGATGAAAAAAAAATTATCTAGATACATGGATTTTACAATTCGGTTTCGTTATATTATAGTTTCGATCAAGTTCCGGGCCTTGGTAATCAAAATAGTCGAGACTATGCTCCAAGTTGTTGCACAGTTTTGCCCGTGTCTGAAAGGCCAAATTAATTCTACTACGTGAATTTACACCGTAAAGTTGTAAGGATGGTACAATGGATGAATTTTCTCTCAAATCGATACTGACACTAAGTCTTTGTGTCTGTGAGTTATTCATTGCAAAGTCACTGCAGAGCATAACTGATTGTCCCGGCCATGAAGTTTTTTCTTTATTGTCAGCCATGGCTATTTCGAAGCAACTGAAGAAACTGAATCCCCGTTGCATCTTCTCAACTCTTTTATACGTATGGAGCATAAGCGAGGGGGAAGCATGTGTGGTAGGGAGGAAAATTAAAAGATGATGCGGTTCGACGGGCTCTCATAGATTGTTCCATCTTCAAGTTT